GAGAAACCAGCTTGAGTGCGCTAAAATTTAAAAAATACACAGCCGGAGAAGAACTACCCCTTCCTCACAGAGCCCCTCCTCCAACACACACGAACGCACACATGACCAATGAGGGCACGAGATAAGTTTGTGCACAGATGGAAGGCTGACAGGCAGGTAGGCCATCCAGTTACTTTAGCCGGGTCGGCTCAGATGATTGGTCGTGCTTTTTACAGCACTACGGCTTCCACAGATGATATTTTTTTATGTATTTATTGTCAAAGCACTTCAGATATTCATTGCTATCGGGATGTTAAGAGCATTCCATGGAATATAACAACAAGTGTATCTCGAGCCGGTTTCTCAAACTTACCTACCCCACCTTTAATTGAAGTCGTTGTTTATGCTTTTACTTTGAAGGCGGCTTCGTAATGTAGTAATTAAATATTTTTAACAAGTACTTTTACTTTTGGTAAGTATACTTTGCTGCCAGTCCTGTTGTAACTTAAGTAAGGTTTTGAATGCAGGATTTGTACTTGCAACAGGGTACTTTTACCATTTAGTAGTACTTCTACTTCTTCCACTACTGCTCTTTGCACATTAGAAAGTGATGATTCAGAACTATATGTCAAATTGTAAAGGTCTGCTTTTTAATTACACTTTTTTAATTGAACTGACCCATTTTATTTAACAGAATATGTGCAATTATGTAACTATGAGGAAAAAAAGCTCAGATCCCGAATTTTTAACCATAAGCAGTAAAAAGAATGACTCTACTTAATTTGTTGTGTTTTCCATATCTTCTACCAGGAGCATATTGCAGTTGTCCCTCATGACTGATAAAGAGAATGCAGTCGACCAGTCAGCCAGTATTCCTCATAGCTACATCAACAAAGACAGATGTTAGAAGCCCTCTGGAGGATCGTATTGGAGGAAAGTTGATACCTACGTATGGGCCTGGTGGTGACTGGCTGCGTTGTAGTGGTGGGTGGCATCGTGGTGGTGATGAATTTCTTTGGTCTGAACTTATAGTGTCCGATGAAGCCGTCTGCGGTGAGACTGAGGTCGGAGAGGAACTGGATGAGCAGCTGGTTCCCGTCTGAAAACACTGGCCTGCAGACACACTCACTGTAAACTGAGAGGCAAACATGGGATGGATATTTAAGTGGAAATGAGAATCACCTACGCTGGGGGGCTGTCTCCGCAGTATTTCCCAATCCTCTTGGCGTCGTTGATTTCCGCCCCGTTGAAAATGGAGACGTGGTCGTAGCGGCAGTAGTTATCTCTCTCCACATCAAACTTCTCAAACTTGATTTCAATAATCTGCAGCAGGAGACAAACCACAGAGGAAACTTCTTTCATCGAGCATAGGCTGGTAACGGACTAACAGGATACAACGTTTGATTAAAGGGTATCATTTGTGGGGGGATGTAGTCTTGTTCCACACCCATTACACATTCGACTAGAAGACTACTCCACTTATTGCACTCCTTACCACTCATGCGGGACAGTTTGAAAGTAAAAGCATCCAAATCAAAGAGATATCATTATTATTATTCCATGCAATCATCTTCCTTTTCCGGAGGGGGGTGTTATGCTAGAGCCAGATTATTGCAACTATTTGTTTACAGTAGTTTCCCCTTAGACCTCTACATAGACTGTGGTAACTTGTTAAACATGTTTTTTTCCACAATGACGCACATTTGTTCAACATCCACAACATAACACCTGTTCAGGGTTAGCATTTAGTATCAGTGTGGAGAAAACGAGAGATTTTAGCGTCTATTATTGAATCTTTTTACAGTTCCGTTTGCTTTTATCCTTTACACATAACATTTCCCTCAATATAAAATGAATGTTGAGCACTCTGACCTGGTTCTTAGGGGCCACTATGTGCCAGGCGCAGGTGACTCCAGCTGGGTAATCCTTCTCCGGCCAGTTTGGTGTTTTGAAACTCCCCGTGGGTTTGTCCAACCTGCCTCCACAGTACTGCTCACCTGTGGAGCAATGATTCAAACATTAATCCTGGATAATCTGCAAAATATAATTCCTATTCCTCAAAGGGAATGATCCACGTGTTGTGTGTGATAAGAAGCCTTCTTTGTTATGTTGTGCACCCTAAAAAGTGATTAGTCCTGTGCCGTGAAGAGTTAAAAGAACACGGCGTTCTTCCAAATGTCCTCAAGCATCGGAAAATCATCTGTTCAAAGGTTGTTCAGACATTTAAAGAACTGAATCACTTTGTGTTCTTGTAACATGCACTTAGATTGATGTTTCCCTTCCAACATGTCAAGTACAGTCTTGCACAGTGACAGAAATAAACATTGTTTGCTCTACAGTTTTGACAACGCTAAGAGACCGTCTATCTGCCATCATCCTCTTTGTGAGAGACATGCAGGCTGGTTTCCTACACAGTGTCCATTAAAGCTGTTAGCTCCTCGGGGACATGAAGAAGAAGCAGCCATTACAATTCCACGAAAACATAAGAGTTGACCCTGCAGAGAGGAAGAGGCTCATTCAGACTCAAGGGATACTTTCTGACCTGCACCTACGACTTAGAGTGCTCCGAAAAATCCCAGTGAGAAATTCCACATCCCACTGTGAGAAGTGTTCGGATGTTCCTCCCTTTTTGTCCACAAGCTGAAACTCTGAACCTTGTATCGGAAAGGTCCGTTTTTTTACTGAGCAGAAAAACAAACATCTCCTTTTGTTTTACTGGGTGTCTCAAAAGTGTTATGCAAGTTGCTCTTAAGTAGAAGTTGTTCCCTCTGTCTGTCTGGGTATTGTGGTGCCAATGACCTCACTAAAAAAACAACTCGTGTTATACGGCCTTGTTAATTTGTTTTTTAAAGACTGACCCCTTGCCAACACAGACACACTCCCAGGCCACTATTAGACTCCTTTATGGGTTGAAGTCATGGCTGAGACCCAAGCGTCTGCATTACACACTCGGCTGGCTGCAAGATATTCTCTTACACAGCGGCAACCTTGGCACATAAGACTCGGCATGCAGAAGACTCTCCTTTTTACCTCTCTCATGTGGGTGGGCAGCAGAGAAGACAGCCAGGAAGCCACTCCCAGCTGTGTTTGCATCCGAGACCATCTGCAGGAGCATCTTGTTGCCAGTGGAAACCAGCCCTCCCGGTTTGAAGGTCCCACAGAAGCGTCCGAGTCTCTGCCCGCGCACATGGCCGCTGTAAACATCAACATAGTCGTAGCGGCACAGGTTGTCGCTCTCCAGGTCGATGAAGCGAAAGGACAGGACCACCACCCTCCCCTCAGGCACCTGGGAGGGAAGTCCACTAATTAGCTTTATTACAGAGAGCAGTGGAATGTCAGGTAGGTGCACGCCTCTCATGCGTGCTGACTTTAATGAAGTGTGATTACAGACACTAAAGCCTGACTCATAAGGCAACATATATATATTTTGTATTTCCTATATATTCATGTTGCATTGTGTCTGAAGTTTTTAATTTCCCACATCTACACTATAGCTACTGTGCACATGACAATAAAGCTTTGAATCTTGAATCTTGAATGAAATGCAACTTGATCCACACTGTCAGTAAGACTGTTTGAATGTAAAGTAATGTAATAGAGAACAGACTGCCTTAACTTGGCTGTGGTTAAGAAGTACAATGGGAGTTTGACACGGTGTATTTAATAAGGTGCAATCTATGTTGTCATCATTATTATAGGCTATGGTAGAAAAGCATAACAAATAGGGTGGAATAAGTACTAAATTAGAAGTACTCAGATCTTGTAGATCTTGTACTTGAGTAAAGTAGAAGTACTCAGATCTTGACTTGAGTAAAAGTAGAAGTACTCAGATCTTGTACTTGAGTAAAAGTAGAAGTACTCAGATCTTGTACTTGAGTAAAAGTAGAAGTACTCAGATCTTGTACTTGAGTAAAAGTAGAAGTACTCAGATCTTGTACTTGAGTAAAAGTAGAAGTACTCAGATCTTGTACTTGAGTAGAAGTAGAAGTACTCAGATCTTGTACTTGAGTAAAAGTAGAAGTACTCAGATCTTGTACTTGAGTAAAAGTAGAAGTACCAGAGTGTAGGAATACTCTGTTACAGTAAAAGTCCTGCATTCAAAATGTTCCTCAAGTAAAAGTAGAAAAGTATTATCATCAAAATATAGTGAAAGTAGCGACAGTAAAAGTAGTCATTGTGCAGATTGGTCCATTTCAGGAGTAAAAGTAG